AACTGTACTTTTCAATTATTCATTGAAATGTATAATTAAAAACTTTCAGCTTTTCAGTACCTCCTTTTTAGAGCGCTTATTTCACTTGTCCGCCCTAATTGAGTTGGTTCTATCTGGTTTTACTTAAAATATTTATTACAAGTCGGCGACAGAAATTTGTATGCTTAAAGTGATATATGTATGTACAGTGACTCAAACAAGTGACCACGTGTTGATTTTTTTAATATTAAAAATGATTTTCAACTTATATTTTTTTTTGTTATTATTTTATAAAAATATTGTCCAAGCTGTAACAAAACCATTTAAATAAAAGCTTCAAACTTTATACACAATTTAGGAAAATTTATAAAATTTTCATATATATTCGAACTTTTTAATCTGAATCCTTGAACATTTTTTGATATTTAGTTTTATAGCCCATACGATTTTAGTCTAATGGGGTGCAAGTTTTAAATGGCTAAAAAATCCCGTTAATTTTTAATATTTTTTTTCCTCTGCGGATTTTTGCAATTTTTTCTATATAATCAAGAATTTCTTATGAAAATTCACGCCAGTTTTTGTAATATGCACTTCTTATATATAGAAAACCGCAAAAGCAGTCACAAAAAAAAAAGAAATTCTAAAAGTCGACAGTATTATTTAGACGGTCGAAGTGCACTTCACTAGACTAAAATTGTGGGGGCTATATATAAAACTGCATACCCAGAAATGTTCTTAAGATCCAGATTACAAAGTTTGAAATTTTCTTAAAAATTTGTTGAATTTTCCTAAATTTTTCATAGGTACAGTGTGAAATTTCACTCGAGCCACTGTATTTTTGTATGTATGATAAAGGCTTTGTTTTGTTAATAAATAAGCGGCTGCTTTAGAAAATTGGTATGCAATTATTCATGTTTATAGACATGTGAAATGAAAATTAAGTAGCTGGAATCTACCGGATACTTATTATGCAATATGAGGTTCGGTAAATTAATTTTCAAAATATATAGTATAAGTACATTTCTTGGAATAGTACGACTATGTACCTTAGGCCGTACGGGATAAAAGGTTCGTCATTTTTCAACCACGAGTGTAAAGTATTTTTGCAAGGCAATGTCGAAGAAAAAAAAATATTTTTTTTTGGCCGAACCTCAGGGTAGCCTTTTTAAATTTTTTTTGTCATATTTTTGACATTTACAGTCGGGTCTTAAAGTATGACATATCGATGTTTTTATTCCAAAGTTCATTGACCTTAAGTACCCGTTCTAGTACTTAACCACCATATCTCAGCTCCTAAATATCGTTGGAATTTGAGAATATTTAAACTTAAAACGCTTCCGCTTGTATGTATAAGAAACAATGAAGAGCAATGTGCTTATGTAGTCCAGTCAGTAAGGCAGAATTACTAGTTTTACAAGAGTGTATATTAATTTGCATATTTTGCACGCGAACGCAGCATAAGAACCAATCCCGCCAAAACCAAAAACGGTTAAGAGCTCTTTATGACCAGCTGGTAATGTAAGCGGTCAAATACAGAAATAAGCGATGTGCAAAAGTATGTAAATACATACATATTTTATATTCTCATAAAATCCTAGACTAATCAGAAACAAACTTGAGTTTAGTATGTAGTACATACAGGCCAGCCAAGCCACTGACTTTTAATGAAATACAAGTGCAAAGCTGTTTTTTTTTACATATGCATGTAAACTTTACAGATATTCTGCATTTCTCTTTTAAATTCAATTCAATGGGAATATACTTACTTATACAAATGTTCATAAAATTAGCATTTAATTTAGCTTTACTGTCTATTGTATGTAGAACTGGTGGACTGTACGTATGAGTAACATTTAATTGTCGACTGTCAATTCAATGCAAGCACTTGCCACAAAGCGGGGAGATAATCAAGCAGACAAACACTTGCATTTCACATTGTTCTCGTACCTATGTATATATAATGTCAGTACATTTGTTTTCTCGAAATTATTTGGAATATGTTTGCAAGACCACTAGAGCGCAAATAAAGGGTGTGTTACTTTTTTTTATTAGAAATAAAGAACTTTTTAATTTAATAAGGCACACAAGTGTTAAATTAGTGGCCTTAACATGGCTGCAAAATTGGATGCAGGAGTCCCCAAACTGCGCTGATTACTTTTTTGTTGGAGTAGAGGCTGGACACTGGAAGTCGATAAATCTTTCTACATACATACTAAATATTTAGTAGCTGGAAACTACTGGCAATTTTGACTCGAAATGAGACACTCTGTATCGTCAAAGTGTATATACAATTGTGTATATTTGTACAGGAAGTTGTATTGTAACGAAAGTTTCGAATTTTTATATTGCCGTGAAATTGAGATTTTTTTTTATTGGTTTCGTCTTCCAACTGCTTATGTATGTATATAGTAGTTTCAATCAGTGATAGAGCTGTCATCTCTAAATACTAATGGAAAAACCTAAAGTAAATAAAATTGAAGTTATTATTAGATGCTAAATACTTAACTATTTGAGGGATGTTAGATATGTACTACAGTCTGTAATAGTTTTCCAAATACCGAAGTGGGCATTTCCATGACAGAGATTCATGAACGCGAATTACTCTCCATTTAATCTATCCATATAAAAAAATTGTAATAAGCTGTCAGTAAATTATATGTAGATATTAAAGAAAAATTAATATGGGTGTCTTTATTATAGACCAACAGAAACGAAATCAACAATTTTTGAGAATTTTAGTCTGTCTGTCTGTATATTTGTACGCGCATCACTCGAAAACAAATGCATAAAATTGAATGCAGTTTTAACCAATATACACTATAAGGTCTAAATTAAAATAAAATAAACAAAAATTGTGGAGTTGCCACCTGTTTGAAAATTGCAGTTTAAGTAAATTGACAAGTTAAAATAAATATTACAATATGGCTGTCAAAAGAAAGAAGTTTAAGCTGGCTTACAGCCGAACATATTTTTCTGGAAGGTTGCCACCTGTTTGAAAATTTTAACTTAACATAATTGATAAGGCCGCTGTGGTGTATTGGTAAGCATAAAAAATAAAGATTGCTTCATAAATCGATACTTTGTTTGAAAATCTTACTTGATAAAGCTCTTTAAATTTGTTTTTATTTTGAATGAATGAAGCCATAAGAGTTTTGGCAGGCAGATGAAGCCATAAGAGTTTTGGCAGGCAGTAACAGCTCACAAATACTCTTTAGATGCAGTGAAGCATGCCGGCCGGTTATTTGCTAGTTCTTAATAATATTCTAAAATCAAAAACCTAATTCCTTTGAGAACTTTCGCATATATTTTGATAAATCAATATCCCTTTTGCTCAAATTGTAACTCGAATGACGACTAATTTTTGACTTGTATTTAATAAGTGGTTCGTAAAATGTCATTGCGTCTATTTACAAGTAAACTTCTTTTCGTAAGCTGAAACATGCAAATGGTAATGTAATTAGGCTTTTAATCTTAAAATTTTACTTCGAATGTAACGCGAGTGTCGGTGGAATAAATGGTTTAGGAAAAGAAAGAGTATTCGGTAATTTTTGCTTTAATTTTTTAGGCATTCAAAATATAATAAAAGGCTTTGTAATTTTCGGGATTTTTTCGAAAGTTTCTAGGATTTCGTCCGAATTTTTTGAGATTTTTTTCTGGGCTTTTCGGAATTCTACGTATTCTACTTTACGTGATTTTTGAAGAAACTTTCGAATTTTATCAGACTATTTTCATGGATTTTCCTGAATTATTCCGTATACTTCGGGATTTTCCGAAATTTTCGAGAAATTTTTTTCGAACATAATTTAAAAATTTTTTTTTTGCTAGGTATTATTGTTGGTCCAACAGCCAAGTGTCGATAATTTGCTGTTTGTTTGCACCACTTGGCTGACTAACCGTCCGTTATTCTACGCTTAGCACATACATATGTGATTAGACATTTTAGCGTCTTAATTTTTCGCACTTTTGTTGTTTTAATTGTTGCGACTAGCCACTTTTGTTCTAAAATCTACTAATGAAGGCGAGTTCTACAAGTGCTGAATAGTTTTTTTTTTGTTCTTATTACACTAGTAGCCATTTTTCGCTGCATTCGCACATCAGAATTTGCATAAATAATTGAAGTACATACTATAGTGATCTGTAACGTTTGAGTTAGGCTTGCAATTTATGGTGTTTTTAAATTATGTGAAAAATACTGATTTTTATTCATATGAAACTACTCTCCCAGTTCAAAATGAGAAATAAGGTTAAGGAATATGAGTTGCAATAGCCTTTCAGAAAATAACTGCTTTATGATGTATGTATCTCGAACGATAGGCCGCACGAATGATGCCGCTGAACTAACAGCATTTGAATTTCTCTATAGAAATTTTTAGCGACAATTTTCGGATCGCTTTCGCAATTTACCGATGTGTGTTTCCTTGTGGGATATTGAGGATAATTGAAGAGCCAGCAGATTGAACTAGTATGCCTACCGACATCATTTCATCATTGCAATTAAGTTTAAACATGCATAAAATGTTCTTCCTTATAAAGACTCTTACCAGACGTCTGCCTAATTGGTTGATTAGTGGTGGATACACGGACCCTTGTCGCAGTTGTCACAACATAGAAGAAAACATTTTACTGCACCTTTTATGCCAATGCGAGGCATTAAGCAGACGATTTTTTATGCTGAGGTCTCGAAGTCTAGCAAAGGCCTTGCACGGCGAACGGATTGCACGGTTTGCAAAATGCGTGGAGTGTATCTGTTCAGAATGGCTGAAATGAAATTCATTTTCTGTAAAGTTCTTGCGCCGTACTAAAACTAAGATCACTTAATAAATGAGCCGTCGATTTAAACATTCCTATTTTTGCTTACAAGTTTTCGCTATTTACTATTCCAGCGAGCTAAAATACAATCAAATAAGTACAACTAAAAAGCTCAATAAAAATTGTTTAAAACTAAAAATAACTTTCAAATAAAACAAAATAAATATTTTACTCAATCTAGTTATGTACATATATATTTCTATCTTTTTTAGGTGCTCTTCCCGCTTGTTTTCGCTGATATGCTTGGTAAAGTTGACATCGAGGCTAATGTGGCCGGCGGTGGTCCATCTGGACAGGCGGGTGCTATTCGTTGGGGCATAGCGATGAGTTTGCGTAGTTTTGTCGATCAAGAAATGGTCGAATCGATGCGT